ACATTCTTTAAGAACTAAAATAAGGAAATTGCTAAGCACAGTACCTCCACATCATCAGTGCTACTTCTCAGTAAGTTATCATAATTATTAATACAAAAGATTTTAACTGATATGAAACGAAGCAATAAGTCATACCTAAAGAGAAACTTAAGTGGCCTATATTCACACACAGTTTAATTTTTGTTATAAACTCCTGTCCTGTAGTTTTCTAACTCCAAAAATGATAATGAGACTGCACCCTACTGGACTGGCTGGCAAAGTTTGCCTCAGAAGAGAATTTCAAGAATCTTTTGGCCTCTGATATATAATCCTTTTTATTTACCTACATTTAATTGAAGACATCTGTAAGTGGTGCCACACAAATGTAACTCAGACTTAGAAATGTCAATAAAAATGTCTGTAAGGCAGAGGTCCGATGTAAACCTGGCAGGGGAGTGCACATCAGCAGCTACAGAGCCACATGAAATTAGGAATATAATGGAAATATGTTGCCTGACTTGACGAGGTGATAAAAGCTCTTTTCCCATAAAGCTTAATGAGCTCTATTAGTCTTTAGCTTACAGGAATGTAAAAAGGTCAGCCCCACAGAGGGAAGTAACTGACTCTGCACACATGGTCCATTCAAATGACAACATATCAAATTACTGATGTAATTACTATAACCTGACAATTTCATTAGATTCATGTGGCAGTTAACTGTTTAGGACTTGTAACAAAGGAACATGGTTCATTTGTAGTAGTTTTGTGGAGAAAGTGAAGTTTAAAGCCTACTTAATTTTCAATCCAAGTCTCACGTATTTTACTATCTCTAACAGAATTAGTTTTCTTTAATTCAAAATTTTAAAAGATGCTGAGATTTATCATATTTATAATTTTCCTTCTTCAGCTAATTTAGAAGCTTAGAAAAATCAAACATTTAGAGGCTCCCACCTTGGCTTTGCTTTGGCTCTCAGGTGCTGTGTGGTGGCAAAGGAAGCCCATGCTGAGCTCAGCACTGCTGGAGGGGTTTGGGGGTAGATGCCACTAAGTCATCAAGTGGCCTCTGTGGCATTCCCGACTAGAAAAATATCAACAGAAAGCCCTCAAAGTATTTCCCATCGAGAAAAGAGAAGCACACTGGTCATTTTTAATTTTTATTTCTCTTCCTCCCTCATGTCCATAAGCCCAGTAATAAAAACAATCAACTTAGCCAAGGTAAACTACAATTTCAAATCGTTAAGTAGAGAAAGCAGAAGAGGACAGAAACTATCACTAAACTTTGAACATGACACTTTCCCTCTACTGTTCACAAAGATTAAAGCTTCCACACACATATTTCTAATATTTAATCTAAGTAGTGAGACATATCTAAAAATATGTATTTGTCTGGTACACTCAGATGTAGTCCCAGCACCCAGAGATGAAAATGACAAAGCTCCGGATCTTAAGTAGCTGCAATCTAGCTGGGAAGATGGACTATTAACCATATTAAAATATAAATATTAGACTCTGTCTGGTTTTAGCTGAGTCCTGCCAAATTATGGATAAAATACTACTTCTAGCCTCACTCATTTGTTCATTCATTCACTGCACACATATTTACTGAGTCAGTCCCTACCATGCACTACTTACTGTACGAAGAATGAAAACACAAGGAGACAAAAACAGAGTCCTCCTTCCCTCCCTCACTGAGCTTATGTCTGAGAGAAGTCTCTCGACGGTCTATTTAGAATCATCTTTGCCACTGGTTTGTAATATCTTCAAATTACTACTCCACCAGTGAAGGGGACATCAGCTTCTAACCTCCTTTTTCAGTGCCCTAGACAGAGAGGCCCATCTGGCCTAATTGCCCTTTGCTAAAAACCCTTATTCCTGGTTACTTCTCTAAGCTCTTGCTAAATAATGTTAAACAGTATTAACATTATCTGTTCATGTAAGTTCTTGCCAGCTCCTTTTTTTCAAGGATAAACCCTGTTTCTATATCAAAGCAAAGAGACTTTACCAAGGTATGTCTGTTAAACACTGATTATAATAACCATTGCCAAAAAGTAACCAATTACCTCTATCCATTGTGGGCCCTTTATTTCACAGCTTGTACTTGCTTTTAACAGTTTGTCTATCTCCTTCATAATTTCTGTGTGCTTAAATGGTTTTGGCTTTTATCATTTTGGGGTTTTTTTGAGATTAAGTCTTGCTCTGTCACCTGTGTAAAATGCAGTGGTGACATGATAGCTCACTGCAACCTCAAATTCCTGGACTCAAGTGCTCCTCCTGCCTCAGGCTGGTGAGTAGCTGCATCTACAGGCATGCACCACCACCCACAGCTAATTTTTTTTCTATTTTTGATAGACATGGTGTCTGACTCTTGCTCAGGCTGGTTTCCAACTCCTCAAGCAATCTTTCTGCCTTGCCTCCCAAAATGCTAGCATTATAGGCTGAGCCACTGGGCCTGGCCTAAAATGGTTTTTAAATTGAGATCTGCACGTATAATTTTGTACCCTTTTATCTCCTAATACGTCAAAGGCATTTTATACTTATTATTCATCAATATATAGCCATGAACCTATAATCTCCATTTTAATGGCTGTAGGTTCTATCATTTAGCTGTATCTTAATTTATTTGACCTTGACCTACAATCTAAATGTTTATGATGATTTTTGCCACTACAAATAATATTGTAATAAAATTTTTTTTTTTTTTTTTTTTTTTTTTTTGAGACAGAGCCTCAAGCTGTCCCCCTGGGTAGAGTGCCGTGGCGTTACAGCTCACAGCAACCTCCAACTCCCGGGCTCCAGCGAGTCTCCTGCCTCCGCCTCCCAAGTAGCTGGGACCACAGGCGCCCGCCACAACGCCCGGCTATTTTTTGGTTGCAGCCATCATTGTTGTTTGGCGGGTCCGGGCTGGGGATTCGAACCCGCCACCTTAGGTGTACGTGGCTGGCGCCTTAGCCAGTTGAGCTATAGGCGCCGAGCCGTAATAAAATTTTTAATGCAAATTTTATCCTCATCTCGATTTCCTCTCTGGCAGTGATTCTGAAAATTATAAGACCACAAGGCATGATGGTAAACCCTTTAACATATATAACCAAACTGTCTTCTGTAAAGGATTAAGTTTATAAATATCGCATCTTATTACATCTTATCAGGAATTCACTTTTAAAAAAGATACCTTGACAGTTACAAAAGCATATGTTGTTTTAAACTTCATTTCTTTGATTATTAACAGCGGCAAACATTAAAAACATATTTATTAACATTTGTATTTCATCTGATCAAGTACCTTTAAAATACAACAAAACTTCATGCAAAAGAAATTAGTTTTTTTAATTCTAAAAGTTTATATTAAGTACAATAACCCTTTTATCATACTTTCCCCAATTGCCTTTAACTATATTTGTTTTCAGGAACAAAAATATAGATCATCACATAATCAAGTTAAATGTTCCCATCTTTTCCCTTGTGATACTTCCCATTGCTTCTGTGGCTAGAACATGCTTCCTCAACCAAAGAGCAGATTATAAAATTTATATAGTCCACAAGTTTACTATGGTTAAATGTTTGCTTTACAGCTATCTCTTATTTAAAATTCTACGTGGCTGGCATGGTGCCTAGTGTTTGCCACAAACCATCTCATTTAGTCTTAATGACCTATAAGTATCAGTATCTCCATTTTTAGATTACAAAATGGCAGCTTAGAAGGATTAAATGACTTGCCCATAGGTTACTCAAGTCCCTTTCACTTTAAGGCCCAGAATCTTTGCACTTTGCTTCCCCACTGATATTGGATATTTAGAAAACGTGACCAGACCTGGATGTACTGGCCTCCTAGTCTAGCCCATTATTCCTGGTGATTGCTCAAACTGGCCACCCTGTGCATCAACATCAACAATAGCTTCAATAATTGAATGAACATAATGTTACAGACACAGAAAAGAAAACAACTGCCTCTACAACATCAGAGATGGGTCTCCCAGAGGACACAGTACCTACCCTGTACAAGAATATGATTTGAACAAGTTGAAAATGGGGGAATGGTGCATAAAGTAAAATGAACAACAGGCGCAAAGGGAAGGACAAGTGAAAGGCAAGGAGCAGAGTAGGACTGAAGCACAGCCTAAGAGGAGAATATCAAATTTTACTGACTTGAATAGTACAGTTTATAACTGCTCTCATTTCCACTGCCTCACTTGACAGGTAGAAACTATTATTTGTATTTAAAAGATAAGAGAAAACTGAGGTTTAAGAAAGTTGTCATTTGCCAGTGTCATTTGGCTAGTAAGTGGACACATGCTCCTCAACTCAGTTTTGGTTCCAACTCCCATCACCTCTCCACACATTCTGCTGCTGCTTCTTCTCTTTTCCAAGTCTTACCAATCATCTTAAGTTTTTCTGCAACCGCAGCCCACAATATCTGGTTCTCTAAAACACCTAATAATTTTTCTTTATCTCATGATTTTAAAAACTATATTCTCAGTTCTACTGAGAACCATAGGATGAGTAAATGAAAAAAGAAACCCAGAATAGTACCTGTGTTATAACAAAAGCTCAATAAACTTAATTCTTTTTGCTCTTTTCTCATCAATTCACAAATTTAAAAATGGTCTCCCAAACCAACAGAACTCCCTTGATGACAGCCTTTGCCTGTGATTTCTCCAGCTGTCTTTCAATGCCAGGGTAATTGATAGAGAATAAGGCTGATGTTAAACAAACAATTACAGGAGTTATCAAGATACAAAGAGGCTCTTTAAAAAGAAAGACTGATTTCTTTCTACATATTGAAAAAGAAAATGTACTTATAAAAAGAGGCAACAACCTGTTAAGAAGGAGAATAGCTATACCTTTTAAGAACTTTTATTAAAACTTAAAAACGGCCGTATTTACCCCCATTACTGTTATTGAAGAATATATATGTCACACCAAAATGATCAATCCTAAATTATGAAATAAATGTATAACGTAAGATACCAACAGTGGTGTTCAATTAGCAATACTGGTATTAAGGTCAGTGAGTAAACACTTACCTCCAAAGGTGAACTGCAAAGGAATCTTGTGAACTGCAGAGTCAAATTCGAACACCACCAATTTCATCCAGTAAATGGACAGCAAAAAGGAACACAGAGAAAAAAGAAAAACTATTATACGATGTTCCAGTAAAACCATCTAAAATAAACTCAAAGATCTATATTAAATCAGTAACTTAGTATGCTGTATAAATCATCCAGAGTACAGAAAGGTTTGACCAAGCCCATAGCAGGTATACAACTGTGTGAATAAGTTTAAATAAACATTCTTAAAAATCTGTAGAAAAGCAAAAGCGTAACAAATTAGTCCTAGAATATTTTAACGTCCATTTCAAAACCCCTATAAAATAAAAACCCCCTTTAAGGGAGGAATCAACAATTTTCCTGACTCTAAATGCAACACACGTCAAGTTCAGCAAATGCCAAGTGAGGAAGAAGATATAAACCAAAGGGGAGAGCAAGAACAGGGGAGATAAAGATGTCAAGATGAGTGGCTCATGCCATCATGATAGTAATTCTTAATGTTGTCAGGGATGTCATTGACAGAAGCAACATTTCAAATCCTTTGAAATTTACTATAGTAATAACATACCCAAGTAATATAAACTCTTGATCTTCCTAACTACAATGCAATGCAATTACTATCAGTGATTTCTAAAATATCACTAATGCATACCAAAACCATGCAATTAATTATCATCATCTAGGCCTTAGAAAACAGTATATATTAAAGTACAGAGACTCTAAGAACTTTTTCTTAATTTATACATCAACATACAATTCAATTATACCAGCTGTTAAGAGAACTTTCTGAAAGTGCAAGATATACCAAAATATTAAGTTTTCACAATGCCAATATAAAATAAATAATTTTACTGAAATTGAAAATGCAGACTTTGTGGTGCTGGATTCTTTTACAATAGCTCAAACTAAGATAATCCCTACTCTTCCTTTTAAGAGTAAAAAGTGCTAGTTGAAAGACTAACCAGTTTTACCACTGGAGAAAAATGAGGCATAGTAAATTTTTATTTTACAATCATAAGTTTGATACTATAAGGTTTCTCTGCTTTGCCCCACAAATGTATGTTAACTACATTATACACATACTTCTGAATTTGTAAGTAGTTAATGTTCAATAGTAACTGACGTATCAATTAGGATGGAAGTTACTTTAAGTAAAAATAAAGAGAAGCATATAAATACTCTCTAAAATAACTAACGTCTCCTTGAAGCTCCAATAATCTACACACATCTGTGGCATGTGTATGTATCCAGCATTTTTCATGTCACAGTTTTTTCATAACAGACCTAAAAATTCTCTATTTCAAGCTGCCAAAAAATGAAATACATAAATAAAAGCCTTCAATCCCAAAGCAGTAAAAACAGAATAACAAATCACAAGACACACATCCACACTCCTATTTCCAGGACATGAAAAAGATTTCAAAAAATGACTCTTCTCTATTAGTGTGCCAGTAAAACTCATTGCTATTTCATGTTTCACTTTGTTTACTTAAATTCTTTCATAATGCAACTAAACATATTCTATTCAGTCCAAATGGTAATACTTTGAAAAAAGACAATTATAAAAAAGCAAATATAAAGTTACAAACTACCTATTATGGACTCACTGCAATTGATAGGAGAAAGAGATTCCTTTTAATAAATACTACCATGTCTGATCAGCATAAGAAAAGACTATGTATGGCTCAATTTTGTTGTGAATCTGAAACTTCTAATAAAGTCTATATTTTTAAAAAGGACTACAGCCACAAATGGTAACCCCCATGAACACCACTTTCCTTATATTTGTCTTTCTGTTAAGAGAGCATGATTTATTATGATCTTCTTTAATATGGACAGCAATCAAGAGCAAGCAGGATACCATTTTTCTAATATAGCTACCCTAATAGTATGATTTAATAAGAAATAATGGGTATACTTAATTGGTTTAAGATAAAGATCCTATTCAAAATATTCAGGCACAATATTGAGAAGACTAAAAAATTTAATGTTTTATAAAATATTTTACTGATTTTTGTAGACAGAAGATATTTCATCATTTCAGAAATAATCAGAGGCAAAAACAGCCACATCCTTTTTTCTTTTAATTGTCAATTATTCTGTCAAGGTCTTAAATTTAAAAAAAATAATAAAGATTATGGTCTATATTTAGAATCCAGGCATAAAAGGTATCAGCAGCATTTTTTAAATCTCTAAAAAGAAAATAAAGATACACATAGATCCCAAGGTCTCTAAAAAGAAAATAAAGATACATGATACACACAGGTCCCCACTCCTGTTCCATAGCTACTGTACCTACTGAACCTGCCTTTCTTGAAGCATTCTTCTTACCACTCCTGGTGCCACAGCTCTACTCATCACGTGCAGCCTACCTCATAACACACCTTCTCATTCCCTCCACAGAAGCACTTAACACTTAGCAAAAGCTTTTGAACAGTTTTCTAAGTGCACCAAATTGTAGTAAGACCTTCTATCAGTTACTATTTGTAAGTTCTTTCTTTTCCCAAATTATTCAGAGTAGGATGGAAGAGATAAGGACTGAGGAATATATACTCCTAAGTTTTCAAAAGATCCCAGCAAAACTAGAATCAATTCTTTAGTATCTTTGTAATAAAACATTCAACACATAATTTAAGATACTATATACCTGAAATGCATTTTCTTTTTAATAAGTAACCATGGTTAAATTCCTATATTTTAAAGGAAAAGGAAACATTGAACATGAAAAGACAATTTTTACAAAGATAACCACATACTCTTTTTTTTTTTTTTTGGTCATTTTTTGCCCTTTGTCCTATGCTATGGTTATCAGAAATATTGTAATTAAGCAACAGGTATAATTTTAATTTTAACAGGTCTTTATGTATGGAGCCACAAGCAAAATGAGTTTATAATTGTGCAATATACAGAGTATATATATATTTCAACTACTTTGTATGTCTAGTTGATACATTAAATAAAAGTGAGAGAAAAACTAAAAGCAAAACTAAAAAGCAAAATTAAAGACCAAGATAGAAGATACAAAAGCAGGCCAATGTGTGTAGTCTGTAAGTTACTGGGTATAGTCAGACAGTGACGGGAGAAGATTATCAGCAGGCTGGCCCTCTCACTGCTGAGCAGGACCCAGTGAAAGGCGAGGCAGAAGGGAGATGTGGGAAGTTAAGCGATTTGCAATTTCCCAAATGGTCTTCAATTCAAAGGCGGGTTTTCACTGGTGAGGGCCTGGGCTCTGCTCGTGCGAAGCTGATGGAGGGCATCCTCCCTCCCCGCACTGCCCTACACCTGCCCTCCTCCTTTTCATTTTCTACACCAAGGAACATAGGTTAGGTGTCTCTATTTGTCAAAGTAAGATTCCAGGTCTTATTACTGTTCATATCTATTGTCCAAAATTTCCTTGTATTAACAGAATATACTTATGGCTATAGTTTCTTATTCTTTCACTTACCACATTATACTTACTGTCCTACAATTTCTCAGAGGCAAGTCTGTTCCAGGCCTTAATCTAATAAAATCTTTATTTAAGATTTTGCAGTTACCTATCTAAATCACACTTCGATGTGAAATACTAAATTCTTCTATCACTTGGTAGCTTTAATTCAGTTAAGATTCTAAATTAAGTTAAATAACACTTTAGACTCCCTTCTTATTCCTGAAGAATTTCTGGTACATATTTACACTATTTTAAATTGGCTATTCCAAGGCAGTGCAAGACTACATTTGACATGAAGAATGCATCTCTCCTAATTCTACAACTCTTGGAAATTAATTTGATTCCATAAAAGAAACAAAGTTTCACTGTTTCATACTTCACTTCAGAAAAATGAAACTTTCAAAAGCAGCCTACAGATGCTAGTACTCATTAAAAAGTTGTCAACAGAATGAGAATTAAATCTCCACTTAACAGATTATCAAAACTAACTTTGAGCATCCTATTTATCCTATTAGTGGGGAGAAAACAGACAGATTCAGGTAATTTCCTAACTTTGTTTTTTATAGCTATTCTCTATTCCATTTATTAGCAATGTAGCTGAATGGATTAATCACTTGTAATGATTAGACCTAGAACCCTGGACAGAACATTAAGCTTCAATAAATTTTAAATGATGACAACAAAAATCTTATTTACATTCTAACATATTTAAACCTATGTCTTCTAAGGCATTACACCTCCCTTTTGCCAATGGAAAGAACAGTGATGTCAGAGTTACACAGCTTGGAATCTCACCAGCTCTGCCTACTTGAATCAACATTTTTTGAGCCTTGGTTTTTTTATCTGCAAAATGATTTCAGTTTTCCCCACCTGGTGTCCTATGACATGCCAGGCTCCTGAGACACTATTTAAAATGATTCTATGGCCAAATAGGTTTGGAAAATGACGCATATTATAGCTGTCTCATCTTCCCTTCCTTGTTACCTTAGAGAATTAAAAGGTATATTGGTATACTAAAAGCTCTGAGAATTCCTACACTCCCAAATTTAAAAAAAAAAAAAAAACTTTTTAACTCCATTTAATCGAGTACTTTCCAAAGTTACACGACCAGGATTTTTGTTTCTTTTCAAGTAGCATCTATTAACATTCCACAGAACCAATTTTCCAGAAAGCCCATTTTGGTAAACACTGTTGCCTGACAGCCCTGACTTGTTTTTCCAGTCAGTACTCACCAGAAATCCTCACTGAAAATATTCCATATGCTGTCAACAGTGTCAGAAAAATCCAGTACAAACTATCAATGGATCACTGGCCCCTTTTCTCCCATTTAAGACTTCTAGTTCCTACTCATTAACATGCCTGGTAAATGGGCTAATGCTTAAATTGACTGACTCCATGGAAAGAACTATACAAAATGCCTCTTGAAAGATTCTGATATTTGCCCAGAACAAAAGCCCAGAACAAGGATACCCAGAGTTAGTGATAAATGGTTTGCTGTGAATGTTGATTCCAAAGTTTGCTAATGCTCATCCTGATTAGTGAGCTACTTCAATGTATATCTTCTGCTTTTGGCAGTGCT